ATAAAATGTGCTGCACACATCTGGATATTTGGGTTAAACGGTTCTCGAACAGTGTTGTAAATACAACTTGATTTGTAGTCGTGTCCTCTTTTGGAAGACCAAACAAAGTAGTTTCACTTTCACAACGAAAAACACGGCCTACACTTTTAAAAATAAAGGTGCCACAAATTTTTGGTTCCACAAAGAACCATTTAGTCAAGGGTTCTTTAAAGAACCACCTCTTTCTTGTTTATAATCTGAAGAACCATCTTTCGCCACAAAGAACCTTTTGTGAAACAGAAAGGTTCTTCAGATGTTAAAGATTCTTTATGGAACCATTTAGACAAAAAGGTTCTTCTATGGCATCGTGAAGCACCTTTATTTTTAAGAGTGTAGCGTGAGTCGAAGCCCCGGTTTAGCGTGCGCTGAGGGATAGAGTGAGCTGAGGCCGGGATAGAGTGAGCAGAGGCCGGGATAGAGTGAGCCGAGGCTGGGATAGAGTGAGCCGAGACCAGGCTAGAGTGAGCTGAGGCGGCGGGGTCGAGAACGGCGCGCCTGGCGGATCCGACGAATGAGCGGCAACCACATGTGACGGACCCCGGGCTGGACTGTAAAGTTGATGTATTTCCTCAGCGACCAGCACGGATCAGCTCTAGGCATGACGAAGCGGATATCGTCCTCTTTTGGAAGACCAAACAAAGTAGTTTCGCTTTCACAACGAAACACACAGCGTCTTCACTACATGGCTGCAGCGTCAAAAATACTACAGTGAGAATAAAAGTTATGCCTTCTTTCTTTGCGTGAACATTTGGGTGGCGTTACGCAAATCTTCACACATAGTGAGGTAGATATGTGGGGGCGTGTTAGAACGAGCCATTTTAGGTAGGTGTGGCTGACTCTGAACTTTTATAAAGAATATCTCTTTGGATTTGAGACTTTAGTCTTTGCAACTTTACAGATCTTCTTTATGCACCAAGAGCTTGTAACACTCCAAAGAGAAAGGAAAAATTTAAATTGCATCATATGACCCCTTTAAATATTAAGCTTTGTAACAACCTTTCCATTTCACTTTTATTTTTTATTCCCCTGTTGTATGTGTGTTTTGTAGATAACCTTTTCAAACCCAGGGACAGAGCCATCTCAGGCAAGGAGATGCAATGGAGATCCAGGCGGTGAGTTTTTGTGTACACACACTCATAATATCACACATGCAACAGTGCTAATCATGCACAATATGATCCCTTTCTGAAAAGGACAGTGTTTGCTTATCTCTCTGCTTGAATAAAAGCCACCAGATCATGAAGTATAGTGGATAAAAGCATATATGGACATATATGTCAGTATCATATATGGACAGTATATCTTGATATTTCCATGTGTGTTTGTCTGTTTGGATGAAAAGTAGATGAATCACTTCCTTCTTGCACCTCAACTCACTTTTCATCATGTCATTATGCATTCATCATCCTCAGTCTGTGCTTGCAGGATTTACAACAAACTCCCTGAGGTAACCAAAAAGAAGGAGGAGGAGAGGAAGAGGCTAGTTTTGGAAACCAACAGACTGAGGGTAGAGGTGTTCAAAAAGGTTAAGCTTTAAATCTCACTCTGCTTTTTTTAAGGCTTATAGATTTTAATGAGTTTCACCATTAAAAACATATTCACAGTTTTACTTGTATTTGTTTAGCTTCTGTTAATCTGTCATAAAAGCCAACAATATTC